TAAACGAATAATAAATAAAAATAATAAATATTAATAAATATTAGAATTAGATTTAATATCAATATATTAATATCAATAATATAGCACCGAATTACTATCGTATAGTAACTCCTATAGGAAGTTTCATATAGTACCGAAATTCGTTTATTAAAAAAGTTACATAAAGGTAGAAAGAGTCAAAAGATTTTACCGACACGATTCCAAAAATACGTTTAAAATAAGCAGAAATTTGACGAGAATTACAGGCTGCTTGGCTTAGTTGTCAATCATATCTGCTTAAAAAAAGAAAGAAAAAAAGAAAAAAACGGAAAAAGCAGAACAGTCGAAAGCAGGTATAGTAAATTTCACACTCGCATTAAAATAATTGCTGCCTATCAACCAACGTGTTTCAGGCGAGAAATTTACATAATTGTACGGCCAATCTGTCACGTGTCATTTGTAGAACACTGAATCTGTCTTCCTTTGAATCTGTTTCCGTCACGTTGTACCCGTGTCTGTAATTTTTATTATCTTTTTCTTATTTTTGCCGGGGCTCGAGTCAAACGCGATGCATTTTTATATATGTAAATAAAAACACGAAGAAAATCGCAGGGTTTATATATTTTTATTAAATATAGTTGGCACGACCACGTCACCCCGATTTTTGTCTTAATCGACTTTCAATCGTGTAAGAAAAAATAATTTATTTATTACACATATAACATATTCTATATATAAGTTTCAACCATTTATGATGTTCATTCGTGACATAAATTTTTGAAAAATATATAAAATTGTTATACTGTCGTTTATTTTCACGTTGGTTATAGCAATTGCTATCTCTGATATCGGGTAAAAATAAAAATATCGAAAAAATCACGCAAAATATCTACCAGAAAAATCGAAAGGGATATAAAGCCACAGGTGCTCGGCCAATCGATGGACGACTTCTTGCCGGTGTTCACGATGGCTCCTCGCTGATGGTTTTGAAACGGAATCGAAGAAAGTGGGCACTGAAATTAGTTAGTTTTTTGCGTGAAGGCGGTGAAAAATTAGGCAAACAATTTGACGAGCAGCGCACAACGGCTGGTCGCTCTTTTGTGCATGTCCCTGCTGCGGGGTGCGTGAATTTAATGAGCCATGCGTGAGGAATGCGTCCCTCGAATCTGTTCTGAAGCGCCTGACGCGTGAAATAAATTCGCTTTCTTCCTTCTCCATTGACAAAAACGTCCCCTTTCTTTCGTGCTGCGTGTCACTTTCTCATAAGGCGATAAATAACGTCGCGCAAATATAGCACAGTACTTTTTCAGAGTAATTTCGCTGGACATTATTTTTTTGACACTTTAACGAGGTGTACATTGTTAAAAAGACGTGCAAAAGGAGGATGGTAGCAAATGTCCATTTTTGGTTCCGCTTGGAGATGAAATATTCGCGAGAAACATTAACATTTTCGTGAAGGGGACGCCACGTGATTTTTAAAGAAGCATGCTCATTGTCGGCCAGGATTTAAAAAGAAAATCGATTTTGGATCTTAATTATTCATGAAAGTTATCACACTTTGAGAATATTCTCTGCAAATTTCATTGTAATCGGATTAAATTTAATTATAGATCCTCTGTATACAGGGTGTCTCTGAAAGATACATACAAGCTATATCATTAGGTGATTTTTCGAAAAAGAATATAAAAAAAATATAGAATGACAGCTATTCACATTTTTCGAGGACACCCTGTATAATTATTCGTTATAATGACCAATATTTGGACTGTGATATACTTGCAGTGTAGTACTGACTTGATATATATATATATCACATATGTACTTGGATTATGTTTGATTTCAAATTTCAATTTTTAATTTCTATATCTGCTAATTTTTTGTCAAATTGTTGTATTTTGTATAAAGATCAATATCCATTAAAGTAAAATGTGTGAAATAGAGGATTTTAATTATTTCATTTTTGTTTTTTTTACTTTTCTATTATGTTTTATATGGATATTAACAATTTTTGGTTTATTAAGACATAGAATTTTATGTTTTTAATGAAATCTCTGTCACCTTCTACTTAGTATCTCCCTAGAGATATTAAAATTTAGATAGAATTACTTATACTATATATCACATACAGTAGATTTCGGAAATTTCTTAAATTACAGCAGACAATACATCCTAATTAATTTTTTACACAATACATATTTGTCTATTTCAGAATACGTAGCCCAATAGGCTTAAAACAGATGTTCAATGATTAAAAACGCAAATATATCACTTACATTTGTATTATATATTGCAAAGCATAACCTCTTTAGATAGCACATAACTCCATACACGTGTAACATCATAAAATTTCTACAAAAGAAATACAACTTGAAACTTAACGATCAAAAATCAAAACACTCTGCCAGCATTGTAAAATACGACAATTCCTTTAAACTATATTGAAATTGCCGTTTCCATAACAAAATACCTCGACCATTGAGGTTATGTACGACAGTCGAAGATCGTTCCAGAATTTACACGTATCCCCGTGAACAATTTTCACGATAGGCGAAGCAATCCACTTTCGTGATGCTCAGACATCGAGTGTGTCATTAAACGAGCGTGATAGACAAAGAAGAAATATTAGTCGATATTTGAGGCAACGAGGACGTAAATCCTCGTTGAAACGGGAAACGCGGGCATTTACGATTGTCCCGTACCTCGTGCGTCGTGAACGGTGACGAGCGCATAACGCGAACGGCGCGCTGGTTACGACAGCCGCCGCGACGCGGCGCGGCAATCGGCGACGGAATAATGAATTAGAGGTACGGCCTTTTGATAGGGTAATTTCGAGGGTAGGCCGCTGACACGGGGTTGGCGAGCCGGCCATTCCCAGGGCTGTTACGTCTAGACGTATCCGTGCTCGGGCCATTTCGACTTTCAGGTGTCCGTAATTATCCTTCGTACGGTTTGCACCGCGGCACACGTATCCACCCGCGCCGCTTAAAGCCACCTTTCAGCTTCACGCCCTATAATTTTCGAAATTCACCCCTGATTTACGGCTGTGCCCGAACCGTACGCGAACGACTTACCGTCCAACCAAACCACCTTCGTTCCGCGAGGATTTCGACCTTCGAGACTTCGATTTTCGATCTGGCTCGAGAACAGATCTATCGAGTAGCGTTTTGGAGGTTAGGTTGCGCGGACTGCTTCTCGCTTGACCTTCGATTCGACAACGTCGATTCGTGGCGAGGGTTAGAACCATTCTAGGGTACGATTGAGTTTACGAGGGAGGGAAAGCGAAGCTTTCTGTGCTCGTGGATGGCGAGTAGTTTGTAACACGGAGAGAGTGACCATTCTCTGGGCGTGGATGGGTGTTCGAAAGTTGAAGCGGAACATTTAGGGTTGAACGAGAATATGTCATCTTTGAGGTCCTGGGTTTTGGAGGCGCGTTTGTTTTCGTGTGTCTGTATCGATGGGATTTAGGATGTTTTAAATATTTCTCTTTTATGTATGTTGCTAAAGATTTTCAGATAAATAGATTTTATCTATTACGAAGAATTCTTTTTTGTGGAAAAAAAGGATTTTTTGTTCAGGAGAAAGGTTCAGTTGGAAATATATCTGGTGTAAATCCTTGTAAATTACTAATTCGTCGTATAAATTCGTCTAATATTTTATAAAAAGTACATTATATTTATAGAAAATGTAATCAGTTTCAGAATATCAGTCTGCAACATGTCACTTATATCTAACCATATATCTGTTATCGTTAACTTTGTCACATAATAATTAGTGTCAGTATCCAAACTTCAGAAGATATTTCTTTTACTGTGTACTCTATACAATTTTGATATCGTATACTTTATTCTTGCGTTAGTTATACCTTGAAACTTTTCGCAATTTTACGTTATTTCTATGTAGTACGTAATTATTTGTAAACTACACAACCAATTTTCGTAAAAGAAAATTATTTTACAGTTAGTTACATCCTTTTAAAATTTGAAATTCAGAATTCTTAACAATTAATAAGTTGATAGAGTTTTAAAGAATAATAAAATTCTTTATTGTTAATAAAAGATCAATTAATAATACATCACACAATACTTATTTACTACAGGTTATATTATATAACAAGCAATCTAAGTACATAGCATGTATTAAATAGCCGAAAACATACTATACAATATATCTAAAACAGATCTGTATGCACAATTATAGAAAATAGGACAAAATAGATACCACCTAACGAATTTCCATTACACTAACCAAATACATATTTCACAAAGTTAATAACGTTCATAGATCCTTGAAAGAAACCCTCTGAAAACATACACTATATAATATATCTATGCACAATTATCTAAAACAGATGTATATGCATAATTATAGAAAATAGGAGAAAATAGATTTCGCATAACGAATTTCCATTACACCAACCAAATACATTTTGCACGAAATTAATAACGCTTGTAAATCCTCTATAGAAACTCGAACAGTCTTATTACTCAACTTGATACATAGGAACGCTGAAGAAATTACCTCTGGCTTAGAGCGCAACGAGTAATCGTTCTCCCCCTTTCGTTGAAATGTATCGTCGACATCGTTACCGGTTTAATTCCAGGGCTCTCGGCCGTACCGGAGATGGCTACACGTGGACGAGGGAGGCCTGCACCAGCGCGAAAAGCTCCGGGCTTTTGGAGAGAAAGCAGGCAAGGGCGTGCAGAGCCACGCCGGACGTGATGCCCAGCCTGGTGCAAGCTGCGAGGGATACCTCGACGGTGTGCCAGCAAGCATTTCGACATCGTAGGTGGAATTGCAGCAGCATCGAGCGTGCGCCAGATTACACGCCTGAATTACTTACCGGTATGTTCTATATCGAGACGCAACAATTTTTGTTCAAACCCCACGAAACTGGCCCCAGGGCTCATCTAAGATTCTATTTCGCCGGCCATCGCAGTGAATGCGGATATTGAAAGATAGATGTCGATGAGATCTTGCTGAAAGATGAAACGTGTTGCTTTGGTATAACCTAGAGCTGGCCAGGATTGAAGGGAGTTGGAAAAAGGTCGATTGCTATGGATGGTTAGGGTTAGGTTTGGGTTGGATCGCACGTAACGTATCACATAACCTCAAATATGTATGCTTTCGCGTCGCTTATTCCGGACTTGTACCAACTGGTGTTGATAAATCTTAGGCTTTACCAAATGGTTTGATGAAGCTTGGAATTGGAACGTGTACATGCTTTCTTGGACTTTTACTACCTCACTATGGTAAATTTTAGGATTTACAGGTTAAACCTAGGATTTACCAATATTTAGTATTTTATGGTAACATAGATACTGTGTGCAACTCAAGAGTTTGCTTCTGGAAGAAATACTGACATGATTGACCTCATAGTAATAAATCTACTTCTTTTTAAATACAATTGTGAAGATAGAATCACACGAATTTTGGTTATTGACTGAAAGTGTCATATCTACAAATAGACTTACAGTGCATCGTGTAACGAAGATAATAGACAGGACACATCGAAACTAAAGGTGATAGAACGATTAGTATTAATTTATTATTAGTATTTATCAGTATTAATTTACTTTGTTCATTTAACCAAGTCGCGTTTGACACTTTATCCCAACTGGTTCATAGTCAAGAACCTATTTGAGAACTATTTTCACATTTTTCTTGGTAATAAAGTATCTGTGTCGATGTATTTTTGTCAAATTAAATTAAAACACAGAGAACTATGTTTTATATGTTTATAAAAATTAGAAGAAGTCTAATGAAACAGGATGTCGAGATTATTTCGATATGGGACTGCCAAGGGTTATCTCAGGATAAAAGGACTAGCTACGTAACTGACCCTGTCCTGTCCCAGTGTACTGCAAACTTCTGAGCTCTATACAGTAGTTCTACGACTGTCAGAGGGGTACAATAGAGAATTCGGAAGAAGTCAATCGACTGTGATTGGCAACTGATGAATAGGTTAGCCTAATAGGATACAAGCATAAAAGCGAACACATATGAAGTTTTTAATTAGTTAGACACTCACTACTATTAGTTTGAAACGTGTGACAAAGAAAACGGAAAATGTCTATTAAAAAGTGATAGGTACTCTTGTCTGATGGTCGCTCGCCTGGCTTCTTCTGAGCTCCCTACAGTATGTACAGTACGCGACAAAATGATAGCACACCCTCTAATTTTTAGTGTTCCTTGAACTCAGTGCAATATATGCTGATATATGCAATTGTTGCATACGTGTCCGTGTAATGTGTACACCTTTCACAAAAATTTCTTGCATATTTTTGAAACCAAATATGGTAACAAAAATTGTTTATCCTATTAGGTTTAGGAAATAAATAAATAAAAAATATCGATTTTTGCCATATTTAAAAAAATAGTCCAAAGATACACATTTTTCAAATACTTTTATCAGCTATATCTTATAGTATTCATCTTTTCCTATAAAATGAAAAATTTAGTATAATCATATAATTCTTCTTTGGTGAGAATATTTTTTGTACAAATTTTTAGTTAGTTGAGAAAAACTAAAAATTGCAGGGTGTACTATAATATTATTTTGGTACGTACTGTAGTGCCTGTTTATTTAAATGAATATGTATAAATTATACACGTTACATGATATTTTAATATTTAAAATTTCGAATTTGATACCTTGTAAATTTATGGGGTGATACGAGGGAAGATTGAAAATTTAGTTTGAGGCATATACAATTATTAAATCTAAAATCAGGTAAGTAATGGGTAAGTGATATGTGTACTAATAACTTTTAAACTAATTATTGTCACTGTATCGCAAAATTTGAAAAAGATAAAGTGAAATTCAATTAAAATTTTAGTTAATAATATAATAAATAATTTTGTGTTCTTTTCTTATAATTTTATTTAATTTATAGCATGCTATCTTAAATATATTTTCTTCCCAATTTTGATTATTTTGAAATTAAAGTCTTTTTTACAAATTTTGTTATAAAGCAGTTATCTCCAAGTCTCGTTGCATAACGTTTTATATTTCACATTAGCATGCAGTAGATGTAAACAAATGAATCGAAATTAAAGGTCGAGAAAAGTCGAAAATCCATCGACCTCGCATGCGCATGCATCCAGCGATAATATTTAGCATAATAAATTCTGTTGCAGGCCGCTTTGTCCCGTGTGTTGCATATGTAAATTATGGCGACGATTCGATGTGGTTCACAGCGATACATCGAGTTCTCGTAATGTATTTGTTTCGTTAATACACGAACTGACTGATCAGAGAAAGTGAACAACTGACATTCGCAAACTGACACGAACATGTCCCTAACATTAAATCCTTCTCTTTCACTCAGAAATTATTTTTATTAATATCGTCGGAAACCACTTCCTAGATGCGTGTTTACACAGATGAAAGTTAAGTCCATAATTCTCGTCCGGTTTACACGTACCATAATCCTAAATCCTACTTAAATTTAGTTGAATCTTTGAAAGAAATTGTAAGTTGATTGGGCAGGATTAATTAAGAAATTCTTAATTTTTTTATTTTCACTCTCTATACTTGAGCAATTTTAAAACAATTAAGGTTTTAATTGAAATAATAAGAGAAATATTAACGAAGAGGAATTAGAGATTCTTTGAATAAAATATATTAAATTATTTATTCCTTTCAATCGCAATTTACGTAGAGAAATATTCGTTTTTGGAATATTGCTTGCAATTAGATAATTTAGAAGGTCTAAATTTGTAAAATAGATAGTTAATAATTTAATTTTTGTGCAGTAATTTTTCTCGATTGAGGGATTTCAAAATAATTTTAGAATTTAAAAGAAAATATAATTCTTGTATAAACCACAAAATTTTGGAATTTGCTACAGACTTCATATTAAATACGAATTTATGCCAAAATAATTATGAACAGGCTATGTCAATAGCAAATGATGAATGATACCTGTCATACGAAGGAAATAAATCTGAACGTTCTCTTATTGGCCATTCACCTCTCACCAGACTAATTATTAAAATCCTTAAAGCAGTGCTTTATTCATCGGTTATACATATATCTCCTGTCTTTACAACGTTAATCTACAGAGCCAAAAATCGTTTCTCTAAAAAAAATTATTAATTAAAATTATTCATAGAATGATAGAAAATTTTGTTGCCAAAAAATTATCCATTGCGTGAAAACGGTACAAGATTAACTATCGTCAAGAGTAACACGAATTTTAAATCTTACTTGGTATTATAATACTATCACACGAATAAAAAATGCATTTTCCTCTCAAAATATTCGATTTGAAAAATTGATATATTTACACGAGACAAAAATCTTAGATATATAAGACAAACTATGACGAAGAGTACTATACGCATAATACTATCACCATCGCGTTAATTTACTATGGGAATAAAATATCTCTTCTCTCCAAAAACTTATTTGATTCGAGAAATCGATCTTCTTCCTCAACACAAAGGGGCCGTACGAGACAGCCCATGGTAAAGACCGACACGAGGCATAAAATAAGTATCGTATATCCCTCATAGTATTCCACGGTAAATAGGAAGACTTCGAAGGATGCAGGCTCAATTAGTGGTCATTATCAAACCGGTGCTTCCTTCCTCTCTACCCATCTTTCTGCCAGCGTTGTCGGATTAACCGTTCGTATTTGACGATAATTATATTGTAAATAAAAGTGTTCCCGGAGCAAGAGGAGATCCTTCATTAATGAGAAAACCGAGAAGCCCGCCGTGAGTTACGTAGTGGCGATGAAAAACACACGGTTCCCCGATACGTATCGGAGGAGTGGAAAAGCCGCCCTTTCGCTGCTGCTATGCTAATCAGCTTTCCTTCAATTATTTCAAACCGGCTAGGAACGAAGGAGAGTCGGTGAATGCGGCCTCTAAAGGCGCCCACGGACCGTACTATTACCGATTTTATTCGGGACCGTTCGAGAGACTCGTCTTCTTTGCCTCATTAATTGCCCGCCTCGAAGGTTTCTTATTAGAAAATCGCGGCATCGCTTCGACCTTCGACCCAATTCACGGAAAGACTTTGCATGGTAGTCAGCAAAGCTTCTTACGCAACGAAAATGGAATTAAACGCGAGCTTGTTAGGAAAATTTGCCGGTGGACAAGATGGCGGAGATTGGCTGCCAGAGGGAGAGGTTAGGGATTTAGGATTTTCTTTCCTGCTTTATTTTGTTATTATACGTTTAATTGGATCGGTTGTTTGATCTTATTAGTAGAGGAAATTGAGGTTTAAAGTTGAGGTTATGTCGATAAATGCACAAAATGGCCTCAGGTAGAAATGTTGTAAGTTATATTATTAAGGTTATATTTAATTGGTTTGGTTATTCAGTTATTATCATGAAGGTATGTTATGGCGAATTTTATTGGTTAGGGTAAAATTCAAGTCGATAATTCCACAAAATAGCGACAGATAAGAATCTTCTATAACTCTGAATTTTATTTTGTTATTATACATTTAAGTGGATTAATTGCTTAATTGTTACACCATGAATATCAAGTCTTTTCTCTACACTGTCATTATCCAAAAGACATACCAAATACCTAAACTGGAAAATCACAAAATATCATTCAAAGAAAGCCTATTGTGCAATAAGACCTAAGATGCTTTCAACATTGTTCATTTCTGTGACTTCTAAAATATTCCTACCATTCCCTACCTCATAAAATGTCTCCCATTTCCATATCAACAATGAACATCATATATCATCAGCCATTATCCAAAAACGTTCATGCATACAGTATCGAAATAAGAAGTATGTGTAGAATTCTAACATCATTTGAATATCCTAATAACAGAAGCTTTATTATACCACAAATTCCTGCATAGTACAGCCACGAAATATAACCATGAAGAAATGCTTTGTTATAAACTACACATTACACACAATCTAATAATTAGGTTAGTGAAATGTACATTATCCATTGTCTCCTAATTTTACAATCACATGCTCTTAGCTCAATGTGCTCAACGAGATCATAACGAACAACGATAAAAGGCAGTGGATCGTGATCTAGGACTTAAAACGACCGCGTGTTGCCAACCGAAAGAAAATAAAAATACAAAATCATCATTTCTAACAATTCTTCTCTTCTGCAACAGGAACCAGGGAACAAGCATTCGTATATGCGATGTCAGCAGCGGCTGCAGTTTGGAGGTTAGCGAGAGGATGCGCTCTGGGCAGTCTCGCGGCCTGCTCGTGCGCGACGCCGCCACGGAGGGAGCCACCGTCGCCGTCCGCCCTGATCTCGCCATCATCTTTCACCGCGACGTCGGTCTCCTTTGGTACCCTGTCCGCAAGGAACTCCTTCAAGTGGGGTGGCTGTGGCGACGACGTCAGGTCTGCATCCCGGATGGCTAAGAGGTTTCTCCAGGGAGCGTCGCCTCCTGGCACTGGTGCAACCGCGAAGTTCATGCACGCTGTTAACATGCACAACAACCGCGCGGGTCGAAGGGTAATTAAGATAATTCTAATGGAACAAATTAATGAACAGAGGAAGCTGGAAGATTTGTATGTAGGATTTGCCACTTCTCCGTGTTAGTATCACCTGAAATAATAGATGCCATGTTGAATGCTATATAAGGTGTTCCTGAAATCCTACTATAATTATACTTCTTATGAAAATAACTTAAACGTTGAGAATAAAGTAAAAGTGTTTCATATAGGTTTAATTCCTTTATGTTGGGAGAAAATTGTCATAATTGCTAAAATAGATACAATCTGTGTAGAATAGTTATAGCTACTTCTATTTGAGCCATATGATAGAACTTCATTGACGAATTACAGAGAATTAGATAAAATAGATCAAATAATACATTTGCAATACACTTTCCTTTCTTTTATATATTATAATATACAATATAAGGATAAATTAAACTCACACTATGCATCACACATGATATACAAAATGGCAAGACAGCCAGATGATTAACACTAGAACTACCAACCTTTAATGGGTACCTAACTAGAAGGTGCACAGATTATAGTAATTTCGATAAATATGAGTGAATATATTGATTACAGTTCTTTCTTAATACGAGTTAATACCAATTTTATTCTTAAAGCAGATGTATGTGTTCGGTGATTGCAAAGAGGAAAATTCTGGGATCAGTCATTTTGACTGGGTTGGTAGTTCTAGTATTAAATTACAACAATACAAAAATGACAGTTTAATTAACTAGTAAATTAATTAACCTACTATTGATCTGTTAAACTAATAAACAAAACTCATATATATTTATGCGTGCTGTCACTACAAGGCAGTGGAACAATCCTTGACCTTGGAGTGCAAGTGTCACGGAGTATCCGGATCATGCAGCGTACGTACCTGTTGGAGAGGGCTCGGTTCCTCGGGACCAGCAGCTGCAGGAAGTCGATTGCTTCGAAGATACGCGACTGCGGCGGAAGTCCGACCGAGATCTGGGGGAAGGTTACCACCCTTGTACCACCATGACAATTTGCTGTACACCACCAAGAGCCCGGACTACTGTCTTCCTGATAGAAAGAGAGGGAGTCTTGGAACTGTTGGCAGGTAAATCGAATTTTTCACTCTGTTTGGCTAATACCATGAAACCGGTTTCACGCTGGCGGTTTACACGCGATTGTTTCGTCGCGTGACAGTCGCTGCTGCTTTTCTTTTTACACTACAAGCGATTTCACTTAGGCCAATGCTGTCCAGCTTAAGCTCCGGAGCTTACTGCACCTTATACTGAGCCTGATAACGTGTCACCTTCCAATACAAACTTTTTGCCTATCCTGTTCCGTCTTAAGAACGTGGCGGAGGAAAATCATGATGGATCTATTGATCTCTTTTCCAATTCCTAATCTCGATGACATATGCATAGGGACAAAGAGTAGTAAAGAGATCCTTCTATGTTTAGAGAACCGTTTGGCTCTGATTTATCATTTATCCGCCTATAATCGGATCTTCCTGTGCTTATAAAGCTAGAAACCGTGTTTCATTGCAGTTTCTATTTTCGGTGGGAGAAATAGCAGAGAATATATAACAAACTGATAAGTACTATGCTTTATTACTTTATACTATACTGTGGTATATACTCCTACTATGAGTAAATTAATAGTAAATGAAATAAAATTTTATTCCATGGAAATTTTATAATATGGTGCATGTGTGTCGTTAAAACAGAAGGTCGTGTAAAAATTTATTTAATATGATATAAGAAAGTATAAAATTTTAACAAGAACGTAAATTATATAGAAAGTATTTACTGTATATATATTGGAAGAATTAAGAAAACAAAGGCAACTTTATTATTTAATATATACTAATATATAGTATACAATAATAAATATAGTATATAGGATATTATAGTAGATACTATAGTATGCATACTGTAGATATATAGGTTCTATATTGTACCGAACAGTATAGTAATATCTATAATAAATTCTGAAATCTTCGTCGGATTATTCTTGGAATTAATTACACTGTTAATATACTTTTATACCTGCAAATACCTTTCTGATACCAGTTGCATAAATAAAGGAAACGTTGAATAACGATAATATCGATATTTTTATACAGTCTATTATCGATAATGTTGTACAAGCGAGCAGGAATTGGTTCTATATGTAAAAATCAGTGAAAAATGAAGAATAACATTTTATCATTCGGGGCTTAGTTTTCGAAAAAATCGGCTATGAAAATCCGTTGGGTATGCATAACATTTACATAACCAAGATACGGATCATTGAGCTGCGCCATAATGCTTATTTTTCTTGTATTCAATGTTTACACGATTTTCTTTTACTGATACTGAAAATCTCAATTAGTCCGGCTAATTATGCGTTTGAATATTTAAAGGGTAAAAGTATATTAACTAGAGTACGTGCATCTGTAATTAGATAGGCACATGCATCTATAATTAGACAAACAGGTATGTGTACTTGCATCAATGAAGACATCGCTTTCAACAATTTCTCAATTGATAAAATAAAGTGCTGCCGATAAGATCTATGTATAATGATACTACAGTGTCGCTCATCGAGTTGTATCTTATCTACGTAAATGCATGCACACCCAATGAATTTTCAAAATCGATTTCCCTGCAACCTAAGGCGCGGATGAAGAAATTTTACCCCACACTTTCGATTTATTTTTGCATACAGAATTAGCTCCTGCTCGGCTTATGCTTTCAGCGTCTTATATAATTACATACAGGGTGTCCCAGTAATCGTGATGCAACAAGATGGTGATTCCTTATGAACAAATAAATGAATATTGCAAAAAGCAGGTTTTTAATATCAGCTTCAAAAATCTGACAGGTATGCCCGTATCAAGTTTGAGTTTTGAATTACAGTTTTGAGTTAAATGAAATTCTACAGGGTGGTACAAATAACATATCGCAAACTGTTTTTCGCGAGATTTCAATTTTATTTTAAATAAAAATTAATTGAGAGATTGGTCATTTGGAGTGCAATAAATTTGAGCCATTCAGTATTTTTGTATTTGCATTTATAATCGGAAAAATAGTAATAAAGTAGATGTAACGATAAGGTGCAATGACTTTGAATATTCTATGCGATACATGTAAGCGTATCTTGCTGCTAATCTTCTTAAATTCTTCCTTTCACGCCTAACTTTCCATCGACGTTTCACAAACGTGAATATTTTTTAAAAGCAAACCAATCCTTGTGGAACTAGAACAGTCCTATATAATCCTAGAATTTACAATGTATTACGATAGAGACTCTTTTGCATTTGTATTTTATTTTCAACGATACCATGTACTTGCTATTATTTCACAATAGTTCTCCTAGCCATTACCCTTTTAAAATTTAAATATCAAAGAGAGGGTAAAATTAAATAATGTTTGCGTCATTTATAATCCTGAAGATTGCGATATTAATAACTAGCAACAATATTAAGATTGAAAATAATTTTCTTTATCTTTATATTTTAATTTTATTTAATAATTAATAAAAATATTTTACTCAGATTTTTAAATTAATATTATATAGTATTAATAATTAATAAAATAATAATATAATATTTCAATATGATTCAGTATTACAATTAATAGTAAGCAAAATTATAACAATTTTTGTAAACAAAATTAAAATTCATTCATATTATTATTTCACATTTTATAATTTATAGTTCATAATCTATAAATAAATGTGTTTAACAAAGTTAATGTAACTTTGATTACCGTTGAATATAATATTGAGTATAATGATGGGGAACTACTATACTTAAAATGCAAATTATGTTACGAAAAATGGTAGAGGATAAATATTAAATTATTAAATTTACTTCCTTATGTACTTTGCTCGCAGTATTTGCATTTCAAATTCTCAACCAATGATTTCAACTGAAATACCAGGGGAAAATACAATTTACTTCCAGTTTTATATTCTTTCCATGACCATACAAGTAAACGGGTTTATCGACGTGTGTTTATATTTTATTAGTATTAAATTTAAAATTGTTTTATTATCAATGATCCTGGCACAGAATTCATATTTTGCTACAAATGGCTCACTCTCCTTTCACGTAGAAAGAAATACAAACCTGAAGCAAGCACACTTCACGCTCATTGCCAATTCGGAGAAATCAGTGGTTTTCTTGAGTTTCACACAGATTACAGAGAAGGTATTGAGAAATGTACCTATATTTTTCCACAATATCGCTTGCAAATTGTCATAAATTAGATTGAGCTGTCGTATAAATTATTGCTTATAGATAATGAATCGATTTCGTAATTCTGGAAATATTTTTATGTCAAGATCCATTTCAGCTGCTGTATTATATTATCTAATAATTTCGTCGATTTATAAAACACACTCCGATATCTGCACAAGTCAGTTCTGGTGAAAAATGCGATATATTAATGTGAAATGTAGATAATGTATCATTTCTTTTTATCTTGCGATATGAAAGTAGATACATTTTATTATCTCTTATAAAACGTTAAATTTATTTTGCAATTAATTTCAGAATTATTTTTACATTTAAATCAAATTTTTTATTCTCAGCTTTGCTCATAATTTTGCATTGAAATTCCACAATTTAATATAAAAGGTTTAATTAAAAATGATAATCAAGTTTGGAAACAATAAGAAAAATGCTAAATATGATGAAATTTAATTATTTTCAATATGATAAATAATTTATCTTAAATTGTATTCCTTATTTCTTTAACTAACAATAAGAAGGAAAAGAAGAATTATTTGAAATTCTTCCAAGATCAATATCTTTTTTCCCTATTGCAATTATTAAATATTTATTAATTAGTTTCATTAATTAGAAAGACAGGTGTAATTATTCGGTATTTCTTCATTATTATTCAGCTTATTAGTCAAATATTTTTGATTCATACGAATCAATTTTGCCATTAACCTTACTTTTATGGCTAAGAAGAAAGAGAAAGAATTATTCAACACTTTTTCAAAATTATATCAAAGACTTTTCTAGAATAAATTAATTAATTAATCACGTGAATTAATTTTTCCATTAACCCTAATTTTATGGCTAAGAAGAAAAAGAGAACATTATTCTGCATTTTTCCAAAATTATGTCAAAAGCTTTCCTAGAATAAATTAATTAATTAATCACGTGAATCAATTTTTCCATTAACCCTACCTTTATGGCTAAGAAAAGAAAGAGATTATTTAGAAAATGAGATTACATAAAAAATTATGTCAAGAACTTTTCTAGAATAAAAAATTAACCAACCTTAATTCAATAATTAATAGTTGTCAGTATTAATTACACTATTATGCTTCATTTTATGGTTAGTAGGTGGAGGGAGAATTAGTCGATACTTCTCCATCGTTGTGACAGAACTTTCTCGAACGTGTTTATAGTTCCTCGTAAATTCATAAGTCTATTGTCCTAGAAGTCATAAACGTTCTTTAATAGCATCTCAGAACTTTAAGGAGTTACGCAAGTCTGCTCATGAGATGCATAAGAGTTTGTAGGTGTTAGGATTACGGGCTAAATGAAAGGCTTTTGTAATCGTTAATTTCATATTTTATTAACAAGTTGTAAGAGTGCTAGATCGAAAGTGGTAAGAAGACATGGTATAAAAGACTGATCGGACAACGATGTCAATCGATGAGACGCGCAAAATGGCACGTAAATCATATTTTGCAATGCCTTTTTAATCGCAGGCTCGATAGATCTGTCTTTTGTTGCAACACTCGTAATAGTGGTAATCTTGGTATAAATAACGTGCTTTTGCAACATCTATTGATCAAGTCCCGAGATGGCTGAATATTTTAATCCTCGAAATATATTAATTATTAACTTCTTCATCGGATAAAACCAATTAATCCGTCATCCGGAATGTCGATATCTATTTGAGATATAGCATAACATTTTACATTCGTGTTAAAAATGCATTGTCATATTCTGTATTTGTATCCACCAGATTTATTTCAGAAATAATTCAGTATGAGATGTTATATTTGTTACTGGTGGATGAAATATCAATAACAATAAGAACAATTCTTTATTTAATTACAAAAAATGATTAAACGCAAATATTAGGTATAAATCTAATTATT